GATCATCTTTCATACAATGTTTACGCGCTCGGACGTTTTGAAGATTCGACTGAAAAAATAACCTAATCGGGCGCAGATAAAATCGACCATCCCATCTTTATTGCAATTTAAACTGGAATATAAGATCTTCAAAGGCGAAAAACAGTCTTTGATAATTACGCCAAAAGTTGAAGAGTCTCCACCCCTAACAAGGAGCTCAAAGTGGATTCAACGCACAAAACCGTCAAAAAAGCAATAATCATCATATGCGTAATAATATGTTAGCTTGTCTTATTTTGAGTCCTCGCATGGGTCTTCGTCGCCACCTTTTACCTCATTAAGAATACTACGGAAATAATCAAAATTGTTTTTGTGTAAGAGCTTCGCGTACAAGCCGACGAGTTTCGTAAATGGAAAAAAAAATTTTTTACGAGCAGCCGAGATGGAGCTCTAATTGAAGAGTCTTTATAGGCAAGACCCAATATCTGCGCCGAGTTGACAAAAAAGAAAACATATCGTGTTTTAATATTTAAAACAAATTGGATGATAGGCTATCGCGCGACAACGATTCGAGCTGCAAGCAAAAATTTTCGTGTTTTTAGAGCTATATTTAGCTGTCGATGGCGTAAGAAAACGTTGCTTGTATATAATGTAGTATTTGTCCACGCTTACATATGTGTATTTAATTACAAGTAACGCGTTGTATTCTTTGTTGCTCTCTCTCTCTCTCTCTCCCTCACTGTATACATGTACGCTTACGAGCAAGGCAAAATGCATACTCACTCGGCGCATGCTGCGGAGTTTCTCGTAAAAGCTTATTTGGCGAATGGCTTTTCGTTATACGATCCCGGGGCTCGGAGACGAGAGCCCGTATTATATGTTTGCTCACGTACGTGTATGCTTAATGAAGAGTTAGATTTTACAGTTTCTGCTTTTCATTTGCTTCTACAACAATTGCGTGCATATGTATGTGTGCGCGAGACGACTTTCAATTGCTTACCCTGTATGCACGTTTTATATTTTTCAGCGTAGATTTTATAGTCCGATGCATAAACATTTTATCGCCTTTATGTTTTTTTCGCATAATTTATAGTTATTAGTTTGGCTTTGAGCGTTATTAGTTATTGTTGTTATTATGCTTTCTAGATGATCAACTTATTGACATGGGAATTGTTTTCTTCAAAATTCTATACCTTGAACAAGCTGATGAACCCATTTGAAATCAAAGTCGTCTTGGGTTAAGCTAGTTTATTATGAACGCAGATATACTTCAAACACAGCTTTTGCGATATCGTTGTATAAGTCTTTCCAACTAGAAAATTTTTTCTCATCTGTACTGTACGAAACGCACTTGAATCGATCGATTGTCAAATAAATATAACGGTTTTTCTGGAAAGCGTGAAAAGCTGCTACAAAAACAGACTTCTTACTTAAATAAACTAACAAGCTTCTCGTGTTTTATGCATAGAACAGTATGATTTTGTCCTTGGTAAGAAATTTCAATGAGAGTCGATAAAAAAATTTCTTTGAATTATTTCACGCATAAAAATTGTACTAACACTATATATCCACTTTTACACGAAGGCAGCATGGCATTGAATTTTCTTCTCACGAATTATTACGTGGCATCTTCGAATTATTTTTTGATTGCATCCAATTTGATGTATCGCAAAAAAAAAATTCTCGCGTGACGCGAGATTATACTAATTTCTAGGAATACTTTATACACATACGTGTCCGCGTGTGTGTATTAAATACAAACTGGTCATTCACTGCACAGAATGTCAAAATTATTATGTACTTATGTGTCTGTGCATGTATCGGTCGTAGCAGCAGCAGCAGCAGCAGCAGCAGCAGAAGCAACATCGAGAATCCTGCAGTGCCATAATATAATAGTTGTAAATGAGCGCTGCGTGAGCCAGGGCATTTTTACACAAAAAGTATCGCATGTGTGTATACACAGAAACGAAGAATGGCATTTTGTCGGCGTTGCTATAGCGAGCGAGCGAGCCGAGTGCGGCAAGACTTTTCGATTTATGTCTTTATTAGTAGAAAATCAGAAGCCGTGTACACCTTCCTCGGGTGAGCACGAGAGGGTTATTCGACTCTCTGAACTACCGATTACGTTTGCATATACATTTATGTACTTGTCGATCATAAGGTAGCAATCGTTAAAGTACAAGTCGTCGAGGAGCGACAGCTCGTGCCCGAGCAAAGTTTAATTCAATCAAAATAAAGAGCAATTTTATTCGAAGCTCGGAATTATATTTGTAACTCGCTATACGCTTCATGAGAGGACTCTTAAGCTAGCTAAAATCTTTTCTCGTCATCGTCTACGTCGTCGTCGTCGTCGTCGCAGTCGGTCGTCATGCACGCGCGAGCTGCACATAATGGTCACTCGTAAATTCGATACTTTATAGCGCATACGTGTGTAGCAGTGCACGAGTGTGCACACAGGCCAAGCTCGCTCGCTCGCTCGCTCGCACACACATGAGCAGCAACATTAACGCCATGCAATCCTCGAGCTGGCGGGCAGGCGCAATTACACTACGGCGCGATGTGTTCCATAGGTATTATAGTTCTCGTGCGCTGCTGCGCCTGTGTGCGTGCAGTACAGCAGCTCTGCTCGGCTCGGCTCGGCTCTGCAGGCCAACTTTGACCAAGTCAGAGCGCCGGTAAATTTTTCCTATTTTAAATCTGCATTTATATATACTCGCGTATATACATCAGAATTATTAGCCTCGTGTTTGCGAGGCGTGCGAGTATAAGTAAGCGTTTTCAAAGTAGCTCTCTGCGTCGGTGGCAGTGGACAAAAAGATTGATAAATGCGTTAAGCCCGCGCTCGTGTGCACGAGCGAGAGAAAGATGAGAGGAGGCTAAAATAGCAAGATAGCCGTTCTCCTTTTCTACCGCTGTACGATAATATAAGTCATTATAACTCGGCGTGCCAAGACTAATACGTTCGTTTACCGCTCGCCTCTCTCTCTCTCTCTCTCTCTCTCACGCACAAGAGATTCTGCAGTCAGTCCGAGTCGGTCTGTGCGCTAGAGGCACTTCTTTCTGGCTTCCGTCCCTTTTTCTTTATCGCTTCGCGCTCGAGAGAGAGAGAGAGAGAGAGAGCTCGAAACACAGTACGACCCAATATTATATATGATGTATCTCTTTTGGCTAATAGTGCAGTCTTCTATCTTGGCAACAGAGAAACGACGCATGCACGCCGCTTTATAAACGTCGAACAATTCGAGGCGCAGCAGCAAGTCGACACATATGCCTTGTAACAAACGTCCTTGACAATGTATTTCACTCATCGGATAGGTGCTCGCAATTTACCCACGCACGAATTCGCATGCCGAAACGTCTCTCTGCTTGGTTTGGCGCTCACGGCTCTCTCGACAGGCGCATACACGGAATCTATTATCGGATTAAAGAGAAATCTCCTCTAAAGTGTAGAGATCCAAATAAATTTATCGCGCACCCAAGTCTCGCACGTTGTTCGTCTTTCGCATCTCTGCTATGCTCTAGCCGTCGTCGTACGCTCATGATATTTGTACAAATTCGTCGGCTTTATTATTACTCTTAAGCGCCGATTGCCACCGCGTGCGTTCTCGGCTCGTCTCGGAAGACTCTGAATAAGATGTTGGTGCACCTTAGCTCTCTCTCTCTCTCTCTCTGTCTCTTCCTCTCTTTCTATTTCGCTGGCTCTCGTTCTCTCTTACATAATTCATCATTCATTTGATCGAAAATGGGATAAAGCCAACGAGCTCTGGCGATAAAAACTCTGTCTAGCGCAGCAATGTAGATAAGCTTGCGCGCGTAAATTTGAATGATTTGTGATTTAAATACACAAAATATATAGCGCAATCATCTATAAATGCCTCGCTCGTAGCACATCGGTGGCTCGTACACAGGCGCGTACGTACATGCATGCGCGCGTACCGCATGTCCGTTGATGTTTAACGATTTGAAATTACTTTTATGCGCGCTTGCGAGCTCGAGCTATGCGAATTCGCGATTACGACTTTCAATGACACGCCTATAAGGATGAGGAGAAAAAGCACATTATGCATCCAAGTTTTATATACTTTCGAACGAAAACTAATCTTTCAAGAGCCGAGGCTGCGCAGCTCGTTTATCCTCTCCTTTATTTCCTTTTTCAAATCTTTTATATGAGTGTTTTTGCGCACATTTACTCGAATCATAAGACGCGTTCATGTGCTCGAATTTGGAGGATAAATTTTTACTGATTGATAGTACTCGTTTCGGTAACAACTATACGATGCTAGATAGTCTGAGAGCCCTCTGACATATAAGATCATTTATTAATATTGTTAATTTAATTATTTATCGTGTAGACCGTTGGACATCGACGTAGATCTATGGCATCGTTTTTGACGATGAGAAGAAATTTCTAATGCATACGCCAACTCTCTAATGAACAAGAGAACAAATTTTTAAAACACTTCTGTAACAAGTGAGTCCTTCATATTCACAGTTACAATTCCCGAAACGAATGTAAAAAAGTCGTAAAATTCTGAAATAGTAGTTGCGAGACAGTAAATACGTGCAAGTTCTCTCGGCCCTTTTGATGATGTTCCCGGCAGATGCGAAAAGGAGACATTTAGTGTTTTAGAGGCTTCTGTACCGCAGATAGTTTGACGCTAACAAACATGCATAAACACGTGTGTGCTGCAGTGTATGGGTACGTATATGCAATATTGGCATTTTCATTACCTCTTAATGATATATTCTATGACTGCCATTCGTTTTTAACAAGAAAATGAGGATACGAAGAATGGGGTTTACGATCTATGTTCTTTTAATTGTTTTCTTTTATTATCTCGTGTTCCCTAATTAGATTTGTATAGTATTTAAATGCTTGTATTTTCATACTTTTGAATACAAGATTTCTCTCATGTTATAATCATAAACTTGGATAATTTTTTTTCACGATTGGCTCTCGGAGGATGTAAATAAAAAAATGTTATATCGAAGTAAATTAGGTATTGCAAAAAAAGACTCACCAGGGTCGGACGATGGCCGTTCGGGTGGGCTGTCAGGACTCGATGGTACCTTTGCAGACATCATGTGAGAGCTTGGATAAGGTAAAAGACTTAGACCTGCTGGCGTTGGCGGCGACGTCAAACCAACATAGGAAACTTGACCGACGTACATAGGACTACTTAGAGTACTCGAGGATCCCGTGTATCCTGGATAATAATACGGACTTCCAAACCTTGACGCTTTGAATTGCGCCATCTTATGAATATCATTATACGCTGACGAGAAGAAAAAATTATTGTAAAAAATCGTTACAGTCATCATTAGAAATGCATAGAGTTATCTAATAAAAGTGAGCCGCGATGTTGGTTCGTCCCTTACAACTCTGAATCGATCCGAAGATTTATTAGAATAAATGGTGGATTAAAAAATAAACTCGTTACATTGACTGAAAAAATTACGCTGACGATCTGATCTTTTCCTCGTTTCGAAGCGAGAAGAAGTGCATTGAAAATGTAGACTTTTTTTTGGTGAGCATACAAATTATGCGCCAAGGACAGAGTTTGTTCACGCCGCGCGTCCGAGACGCGCCGCACACCATGTGCCGTTGTGAAAAATGTTAATCACTCCGAGCGAGCGTAGCTATACGACTAGTATGACACGTTGCAATAGCCAACACTTTTTCATATTACTTTGACGCGCTCTGCGATTTCTTATACAACAGTCTCTGGCACGCGTTCATTATCAAGCTGTGCTTTTGCGCGTGATAACAGACTGATGTAATTAAACGTCCTGCGCGAGCAGAATTTAAAATGAGATGTGGTGTGCGTGAGTGTGTGCATTGAAGAAAAAAAATGCAAGCAGTTGATCGATAGCGTGCGGCTTCATCACCGCAGGTTTTCGATAAAAATGCCAATGTATATTTGACCGATGTTTAGGTGTTAATGATTCCATTTTAGATGTCCAGATGATTGGATTACAGTATCCGCACGTTGAGATCGTATATACACTCTCGCGCCGTCTGAGATTCGTCGCTCTGGCTTATTTACTCTGTGGTCACGTACAAACTTGACACTCCATCTTTCTTTGTTTCACGCGAGAATATTTACTCTTCGTACATTATAAATATATTATGTATGCCGCATACGAGCTTCAAATATATACCTATATATATTTTATATAAATACTCCTGTCCACATACTCACTCGCACACACGACTCACATTTACGCTCGCATAAGTATGTATGTATTCAAAGTCATATGTCCGGCAGTGATCGTTGCACTGTGATTAAACTTCTCACGCAAGTACATTATATGAAAGTCCCTGCATATCACGCGGAGTTATGACAGCTTATGGAATATCAAATTTAAAAAAAATAAATAATAAGATAAAGAGACTCGAAAGAAAAAATGAAGCACAATTTGGAAAAATTAGCTAAATAGAGCCGAATTCGCCCGGAAATATACGTACAACGAATAAAAAGAACGAAGAAACCAAGTTTAATTGCACTGAGGCAATAATATAAATGCGCCAATTACAGGTTATCAAAAGTTACTTTTTTCGCTCATTTTTACCTGTATAAATATGAAAATTTAGTCAGCATGTAACTTGTAAAACCATATCGGTTTGCAGCAATGTAAGTGCTCAGAAAAAAAATTATCGTGATGCCTGTGCTGTTGGGTGATTTTACAATATACAGATGTGAAATACATATTATACATGAAAAGAAGGAAGGTTGTTAAAGAAAAAAAGGCGGGCACCATCTGAAGGGAAAACGTCAGTTTCTTTGCGTTAATTACTTGCGCACTGACGTGACGTTGCCTGCTTATACGTGCATGGTGCGCGTACCGTGTGTACATATCCGTGTGCGAGCGCTTGCATCCTGAAAGAATATATTAACTGTGGCATTGATTGCTTTCCCGAAATGCTGCAGAGGATACAAAAAAAATGTGCATGCACGAAAAATCGTAACGGCGCAAAAATTGTAGATAATTATGCCCGCAGTATAATAAGTGCACTAACCATTATTCCGATTGCCCTTTGATGTTAACACTCGGTCTTAAAAATCTTTTTAAATACTCACGAACGAAAAGAACTGCTGATGCAAAATGCATACTGCATGTCCATGAGCTTATTATTGTGCATATAGCTTATGCGTGTATTAAAATTTGTGCATACAATTTATACATATAATGTATATTTGATGGAAAAGGCTCAAATAAATTAAAAATTCATCTCAACATTACTATTCATGAAGTTATTCACTTTTAAATTCATTTTTAAATTCATTATTAATTCATTATCATAAAAAAGTAGCTCACAGAAAAGATAGATTTCGTCTTGATTACATGCAATAAGGTTTACACAAGAATTACTTGAATAAGCATGAAAGGTTAACTTAATAAATGTTGTTGAGATTGTCAGTCCTTTTTTCTTATTCAAAAAAGTATGTCGATTAAAGTATTATTTTGAATAAATAAATTCATTCTTCCATTGCACGTGATTGAAAGAAAGTTTAATATGAAGATAAATTTTCAACGTATATGATTTGATTTTAGAGCTGTTATTTTATAATTGAATAATTTTTAATCAAACGTATCTCTCGAATTATAAAGCTTAGTTCTGTAGATAATTACATGTACCATAATGCACATAAGAAAAAAATTGAAAGGACAATTGTTTAAAGGTAAGATTAAAATAGGAGAGCATGTATAAAAAAATGATAGTGTTCTCAATTCACTTGTAAGACATTTTAACTTCTACAAAAAGGGTTTTATTCAATGTTATAAATTTCTTCATTCAAACTACATGAGGTTTTTGTTGATGAAAATGAAGAGTAAAATTGACATTGATCGGTTGATAACAAGGTGGACTGAGTAAATTTTTTCATTTGTTAATAATATTAGTTTTAATTTAGGGTAAATGTACCCATTACCGTGGATTTATTTTCGACCCGCGTTAGCGAAACCATAAATTAAAAAAAAAACGACTTTCTTATAGGTTTTTTACTTTTCACTTGAAGAATGAACATTTCTTTATGCAATGATGCATTCAAATTTCATTTATTAATGTACAATAATAACTAAAATTCAATTTATAAAAAAAAGGTAAATGTGGGCATTTCCGTGGGCCTGCACCTATTATCGTGCGTGTGTTATCGCGGATGTGCATATTACCGTGTGTGAATTATCGTGGGTATCGAAAAGGCTTTTACAGCCTCTTCGAGTGCTTCCAGGGCATAGTTTTTTTGTAATACTTTATTCTCTTTATTCCCAGTTGCCTTTTTTGACATGTTATCGACTTGTTACATCTTTTAATCAGTCAATAAATAGGTAGGCTAGAATCACATCAGTCAAAGCTAACGTCGCGGTAATCTTTAAAAAAAGGTTATGTTTACACTGCATTTGACCCACGGTAATGGGCGCTTGCACATAAAGTCATGTGTGCATTACCGTGACCGCATTTAAAATTATTTTCAGTAGGATATTTGATTTTTGACATGAAATGTAATGTAATATTTCAAGTATCTACTACCTGATAGTACTATTATGCGATAGCTTTTCTGTCAAAAATAGTTAAAATAAGGTCTAAACGTAAAGTCATATTTTACAACTTTTTGCACTTTTTCGGCTGAAATCTGACCGAACATTTTTAAATTAATTAAACATAGACAAGTCTTTCGAAAAACCCAAATTTTTTTTGATCAGTCAATAGATTTTCATCAAAAGAGCAAACAGGAATATTTTGGGAATAATTTATCGTTAAAAATTGATTAAACGCGATAATTTAATATATCCGTACATTCCCTATACATTTACCCTATATTCAAATTCAATGCACTAGATGTTTAATAAGCAACAATAATTTCTTATACTGATATTGTATTTTTTGCATAACTTTTGTAAATATACGAACGACGATTGAAAGTATCACGTTTTAGAAGAAATTTGTCTTATTATTCAAGTACACGATGATCATAAATAAGTATTTTTTATAAGTCTTTTTAAGATATCTACTTATCAAATTCATAATACTGCAAATAAACGGTTATTATAGAAAGTATAGTATTTTCTTTGACAGCATAGATGAAATAGGAAGCATGCGCGAAGATGAAAAAGTATATTTAGATTTACGTATAACATTAAAAAGGGCTGCAATGTTCGCGTTCGGGGCGTTTCTTGGTTGCCGTTGCTGTCACGCGTTCGTGCGCAAGAGTCGCGCGCAGCATTGGGGCGTTAACGATTTAATGCATGTATATCTAAAGGTTCATGTTTATATACATTAGATTGTTTTTTTTGGATGCAAATTATTTTGATTGTCAAGTTTCGAATTATTCCTGGAAGCTCTCGAATGAAAATAAAAAAAATCAACAGATCGTAAAAGAGTGAATTCGTCGTTACGAAATCGATTTCATATTTTCGATTAAAGGGTCAAATTGTTTTGCGAAACGGAAATTTATTTTATTTCTTTTTAATTGAATTTCAAAAATCAGAAGTTTAATCAATTTGAAATTTTCACATATGAAAGTGTAACTGGTTAAAACGGTGCAAAAAAATTCAGCAAAAAATATTGAAAATATTCGTTTTTTCATCAGTTTGTCTCGGTCTCTCTTTTATTTTCCAGTAACTCTTTCATAACAAATGAAAACTATGATAACTTTGCTCAAAATTTTAAAAACAATTCAGAGAATGTGCATTCGAATTTAATTTTCAAAAAATTTTCGAAATATTCTGACGAGCTCTCCACCTTACGAGTATATTTAGCTAAATCGTTCAGGTTCAGAATAGAAAGAAATCGCACAAAAATATTGTGCTGGTACAGTGCATACGTTCATCGTAGATATTATGTTATTTGAAAATCGATTTAATTACAGCGTTATGTAGAGCTTTTACAAGATTTTTTGTAGTTAACATTTTTTGGAAGTCTTATTACTTTTTTTAGGTAGGATAAACTCGTTTCTTGCAAGTAGAAAACCTATATAGTAAGGAGTGACATGTTTGAAATGTCGTACTTCTCACTGTCATTGTAATTATACGTCTTTTACTTGCATATTCAATATCGTTTTTAAATGATGCAAGTATTCAAAAGAAATATAAAACGATCTTATTTTGCATAATGTATTTCTGAAATTTAAAATTCAATATTTTGCCATGAAAAATCATAAAAATTTCATTGAATATTATAAGAGTGCAATATTTAAAAAAGTATTGTACTCAAAGAATACACGTATTGTTATCGTATTTACATGACGTCAATAATACTCATAATTTATTGTTTTATTATTCTATTATGTAATAAAAAATCATTGATTTTTAAAAACTAAAATTTTAATTTTAATCTTAAACAGTTATAAAATGATCTAATAATAATACTTTGGTGATATGTAATAATCATATGAAACAAGATTTATAATAATTATATGAAAGCAATTTTTCACACTAATGAACTCAATACTAAACCATATCACAGCCATTGAATTTAATTTATTACACCTAAATTTCTATAAAATACTGAAAATACTATGAAACTTAAAGTAATCTAGAACTGTACCGTAATCTGTATTTTTAAATTGAGTTTACTTGATCAAAATAATCTAACATTCTCATTTACGCGCAATATTTTATTTTTCTGGTTCTGATTAACTTCAATTCAAATATAAATTTTGGTCAAAAATATTGTCCTTTTCGATTTACATTTATATTTATAACTTATTGCAATGGGAAAATTTCGCTTTATTCACTTTATACGTCAATTTATGCATTTAGAGCAAAAATTTTTTTGCTATCCTCAGAAAACGAGATAAAATATTATTCTGACTTATTTCTAATTCATTTTTCTTCCAGCAAATGACTTATAATTTTTCTTTTTCAATGCTCATACAACTGTGCTTAAAATTGCTTGGTTTAAATCGGTAGCATAAAAAAATAAGTTCAATCCATCGACGATTAGTTGAATAAATAAAATGTATATTAAAAGTAATTAAGGGCTCAAAGGAGGTTAATTTTTTTTTTGACTTTATGTATAAGCATTAGGCCGTAGAAGCTAACAAATGTTTCATGACCAGATATATTAATGTTTTTCAATATCCCATTTGAAAGGACTTTTACCATATAAAAACTTTTTTTATATAAAAACAATTAAGTACATTGTTAAATTACTGTAGACCTTCTACGTTAAGCATTTGATGTATTCAAGCTACTCAATGTAGGATTCTAAGTCATCCGATGGATCAATTAGTTCTATGTAGTCTCATTTTATTCGATGCACTTTTGGTTACAAACTCACGCGAAGCTTAAGAGCAACTTTGACTAATTTGTCGTATTCAATTTAAAAATTTTTTTTATTTTCGAAAAAGTTATTTTACTTTATTATATACGTGAGTGATCAGATTTTTTATTACTTACGTGTAAAAAAAATTGGAATCCTGTGACAAGCATTTTAAAAGTGTCAAATGCTCAGCGCAGAAGGTTTATGAATGTCAGTTGGTCAAAAATATTTTTTTCACTTTTGCAGCCTACTACTGTAAATAGAAAAATTTAAAAAATTGAAGCCCCTTTTAAGCCTTTCGATACTTTTCTGAATAAGAACATTTAATAAATGTAACTAAATAGTAAATTAATTACATTAAATATCTAATTGATCCATTGGAATGAAATATTGGATGCAAAAAACGTACCTAGTCCAAAAGTAATACGAGTCAGTCTTCTCATAATTTATTTGTTGCGAGAATGTTCTATTATAAATCGTTTTAAATGAATCTATTTATCAATAAAATCTAATAAGTTTATTAGCGCAGGGCTCCGCATTTTCCTCGTTATACAGTTACTTTATGTATTATTATCATACGGCATGATATCTTCCGCACTTTGTAGTTTGCATAAGCCATAATGTGATAATTTAAATTTATTTTTTCTCAACAGAATTTTCTTCTATTTTGATTGCTTGAAACGAGTTTGAATAATAATAAAGTTTAAAAAACTAAAAAAATATATTGTTCGATTAAAGAACGATGATGAGAAGACTAGAAATAACTAGCTAATGGTAATGCTCATAGTAGGTTGATATTTGACATGACTCCCACTTGCTCGGAATAAATATCATTGCAACTATATAAACTAGTATGTGTAAGATTGCTTTTTCAGTAAGTTCTTTTACCGAAGAGAAATGAAAAACCGGTTTGTATTCAAAAGCAACAATTTACCACATGTACAAGGCGTCCGTACTGCGCAAACGCAAGGTATATATACGCAAAACGAATATATCTTGGTTAAATTTTTGTACTCGGTATTGTACTACGGCGAAAAGAGAAAAAAAAATGATGAAAAAATAAAACATACCAAGAGCAAGACAACAAAATTAGGGGAGAGGTGAAAATACAAAAAAGTTTGCATGATGTCTGTAATATTCGTGATGACTTACTTCCCTTCTGCCGTTCTCTCTATTGGCTACACACGCACGTATGTATAAAGCCCGTAAGCGCCAAAGATTGTAATGAAGAAAAATGAAAACAAAGACTCGGGCAGGTATACACACAGATGGGCACAAAATTATAGTTAACCTATTAAGATATCTTATAAACCAAACAAAGAAGTGGAGAAAAAGTAGAAATAAATGCACACGATATCAAATGCACCTATACACACTCCGTGTCTGACACGAACAAACGGAAAATAATTGCAGATCCGAACCGTTTTATAAATAGCTAAAATTATTCGCAGTACTTGAAAAACGCGCGTTACATGTTTGTATTTTAAATGAAATAATAAAAAGGCTTCATTGTATGTGGATAAAGTTATGAGAAAAACACTGTCTTTAGTATTGCGTGCATATAGACGTAGTAATCTATATGAAACAGAAACGCTCGCAATCTCTATCTCGAATGTTTCAGCGATATCATGTAAGTTTCTCATGGTCAATAATTTTTATTTATGTTTATCATCTTACGAAAAATAATCTCAGAGTTGATGCATTCGTTATATTACTTTAGAAACTTTTGATACTTTGAGATATTTTTTATTGATATCAAATATTTTTAAACATTTTTTTACATTCAAGACATTGATTGATAAATTAATTTAAAATTATATTTATGATAGTGAAAAGTATTATGATTAAAAAAAACTTCCACTTATCGATTGTGAAAGGATATTTAAATATCCACATTATTGATAATAAATCAATTTAACGATCTCTGCATCAGTTCATAAATTACAAAAATGAATTTCTCGTAGCAGTTCGGCCGCAGCGTTATTTAAAGCCTTGGCAGAATGCAGGTGAAGAATGTGAGAAAGTTTATAATTTGCATATACACAGTGCAGAGCGATACATAAAGTCATGCGAAATTTATACATTGTAACAAGTGGGTCAAACGAAAGACACCGGATTGTGCAATTACTGTCGCGCGCGAGCCTATATTCAGCGACACCTTAACGATGTATTATACATGTAGGAAGACTTTAATTAAATTTTAACAGAGTTTAACTTGATTAGGAGCTTTACTATGTAGCTCTTATCGGTTCTGTCAATATTACATTGATAGCAGCCGATTACTGACACGTCTGATATCGATTTTTCTGTCGCGGTATTAAGTTATATAATAATGATCGAAATTGATGATTGTTGAAAAATGAATTTAATCTTCTCTTCTATTTTTATTTCACAAGACTTCGATACGGCACGATAGAAACACGCATACATAATCATAAAAGTTCAAATGAAAATTTGGCAAAACTGCAATATAGTTTATTTTTTTATCTTTAGCGTACAACAGCCATGTGTCATTTTACTGTAAATGTTAGGAACTCATCACCGTTTCTTGACATAACTTGATGTCATGAGTATACAAAAATACATTTGTAGGATTTATTTATAATTGAGAATATATACTGGAGCTTGTGACTTTGCTTGTCGATTTCCAGAACGTTTACATCTTCATGGCGTAATTTGTGGTCCTGACCACAAAATATATCTTCAGTGATGGCATCGTTGAGTGTAGATATCACAGATGAGTTACGCGAGTATTAATTTCTACGATTTATTAAAAGTAAAAAAAAATAAAATAAGCCCATATGACGATGTTTTGCTAATTGGAATGTTACGTATTTGAAATCGCTCACTTTCCGTAATTTCCAATTTTAATATTTATAATACCATTGACGATATTTTTTTGATCCATCATTAAACTAATCTTCATGGATGCAGTGCTACAGCGATCATCACGTCTTCAGGGTTGTGAGCTCACGCATTGTCGAAAAATAAATCGGTTAATGATATGACTAATCATTAATTGAATATTTTTAATCCATCATGAAAATAAATCTTCATGGATGCACCGCTACAGTGATTACCATGTCTTCAGAGTTGTGAGAGTTCACGCATTGTCGAAAAAGTAAATGGTTAAAAATGTTATATTTTAAAAATTTAATTAAAAAATTTTTGCAGTTAATTGAATCCAATGTAAAATGTTATTGCAACCGAATAAATGTTTGATAATTGAAATTTGAGATCTTCTAGCTGATGATTTTGTCCCAAAAATGAAATAACAAAAAAAGATCATTATTAACACTTTGGTACAATATCTTATCGTGTGTATCATTTGTCAAAGATTAAGTAGCTCGAGAAACTGTTTCCAGTGTAGTAAGAGCTAAAGCTATTAACAGGAAGCATAAAGAGTTTGATTACCTTTATTTATTCGCCATGTCACAACTTCAATGTCAGCTTTGAAAGCTGTTAAAAATGCGTACATTAACGATAACGACTCCCACGGGTAGCCAAAATGTTGCACTAATCTTGCACTATAACTTAATAAAACTTCTACTTGTTCCGCATCTGAAACAGAAAGGTTGTTCATTTTTAAAAAGGTTGATCTATTTGTTTTGAACTTTGCAGTCAAAGGATTTCGCGAGAAGAATATAATTTTAATTTCACTTTACAAACAGCGCGCAAAGGAATAATATCAAAGCCGCAAAAAAGGCAAAACTTATTTATTCAGAGCTGCAGTTGTTAGCCATTCTCTTTGTAAGGAGTGCATTAACAACGAAATAAAAAAAAAATTACGTGGAAAGCTTTGTCGCGGCTCATTCGTAAAAAGAGAATAGAGATTCGTCACGGCTTTGCTCTAGGACTTTTCTAGCTTTGTGCTTGATGCCAAGCGACACGCGCAGCTTAAAACAATTGTCATGGATATGTATGAGTATATTTATATATATAAGTGTACATAGATATATTTATATATGCGGTTGTTTGTGTGTCTGTGTGTATAAAAGCAAAGGCACAAACACAAGTAATTCTTGCACAATATTGTTTTTCGTGTAAGTGGGACTGGCAGTACGCGAAAAAAAGCATACCGTAATATTATATGTACGAATGTGCATTACATGCGCACGGACACGCACACTTACACGCGTGTATATCCATAAACATTGGATGTCACGCGAACCAATGGCACAAAACCATTCCCGCTAGCGACCGCCTACTTTCCGACCTCTGGAGAACGTATTTTAAAACGTAAATGGCTACCACGAATAGACGACAGACGATAGCGCGAGCGAGCAAGCGGCAGAGAGCGCAGCACAGCACAGCACACACACACCGCCAAAGCTCCAAGCGACTATATGCATTCGAGCGCCTATACGCGCGCGCGTGTGTGTGTGTGTGCAGTGGAAAGGCAAGCAGGGTGAAGAGAAGGGGCAGGTGCGAGCGTGTCTTTGTGCCCGTGTACGTGTGTATAGCTCCGGACTTGCTATGCTCCTCTACTGTATACGCACACGATCGTGTGCAGTGCACCTACGTGTACAGAGAAAGAGAGAGACACAGAGAGGTGTAACGTTGTAGACCGCCCTATTGACTTTTACTTTGTGCGAGCAGGTGACAACTGTAAGCGCTCGCAGAGCTACCTTACGCGGCTTACACGCACACGCTTACAAGCCTAAATATGCGTATATCCGAATTCGCGCGAACGACCAAGAGGTGGTGGCCGAAAAAGTTCGCTTCGTACAATGGGCTCGAGCTCAAGAATGGTTCGATCGTTATAAAAATTAAATAGCTGCGGCAAACGAGTTAACAGGCCTCGTACTTTTTTCATAAACTGTTCGCATAGACGCCTTAGTTATTTATGTGTAACAAAAAAAAAGAACAAGAAGAAATGCTCGCGCGATATTGTGTAGGCTCAACTAGTATATACTAGTATATTGTATACTTGTGCCCATAGACAACTAACTCTTTTTATTGAAAAATACGTAGAAAAATAATGTACGGCTGCGTCGGCGCGAGCGAGACGATGAGCAATAAAATTGCAATAAGAATTATTATAACAATCGAAGCATGGTACCGAAATCCGCTCGGGCGCGCAATTTCAAAGTTTATATTTTCGGGGGCGTCGATTCACTCGTAAACGTCGACTCGTGCGGTGATAACAACAGTCTAGCCGCGCGCGCGCGCACGATATATTGTGGCAACGATACGATTTTCGCTCTGCTGAATTTTCTCAGAATTTTCGACGCAAATTTCACGTTGTATACGCGCGCGCTCTGGACGTGCGGGAGGAAGTCTAAGTAAATATGCATCATAACTCAGAAGACCATTAATATACAATTACACGCAATAAAGTATTACGTCTGAAAATAATGCGCGGCTCCCTTACATGCGCTAAAACGTTAAAACAATTCTGTTAAAAAATGAATGTAACTTGTTTCAATAAAAAGTCGTCGCTAGCAAAAGTTCGCTTTTTTTGCCTTGCTTTGTTTGCCTTTATATCGCGACTCGTCGTAGCTATATAAAAAAGAACTTTGAATTGTTTCCACAAATAGCAAGTGTTACAAGTACAATATACAATACGAAGTATAGCGTGCCGCATAATAAAGTTTGACGCGTGGCGTGACGCGTCCTATTGGATTATATGCGTTCGCTTGAATTATAGCGCGTATCGATATATTCGAATGAAAGAAAATAATCTGGATTTATATTTTTGTCAAAGAATTTCGCAACGCCATCCGATAGCCCAGTTAAAACAGTATAAATATCATACGAAAAACACGAATACGAAAAGGGGGGTTGTAGCCGGTGTCAGTGCTGCTGCTGCTGGGACAAGCTTAGTAAACGTGATACTCTTGTTGTGCGAAATTGAAACTCCTGTCACAACACGGCGAAGCTGTTTCAATATCAAAGAGCATAATCCTTTTGCAGATCATTGACCAGTAAGAATCAAAAAGATGAGCAAGATGTTGGGTGATTAAATATCTGATAGATTGAACTGTGTTACAACATTTCAAAAGTTGGTCGACATTTTTTCAGTCTTTGCTTTTTAGTCAAGCCACGTACGCAGTTGAAAAAAATAGCAGCAAACGCATAAATAGTTGTCGAGTCAAAAATTCTCGATTGAATTTCGAGTGCAAAAGGTATATAATGCAGTGGGGCGACGCAAACAAAGTATATATAGCTATACAGGTCGGCGAGGATTTTCGTTTTTGAAATGAGTAATAACCAAGTATTTCAAACGATCCCGCTCGTAAAAGCCGCCAAGAGACAGAGTTTGCTGCTCGGAGCACGAGAGAGAAGAGGCTGGCAGCAGTAAGAGGAAAGGAAAAGAGAAAGAGAGAAAGCAGCAGCAGTAGCGCAGAGGGAAGAGCTGCGTCCGTCCGTCTACGGCCGTCGTCGTCGTCGTCGTCGTCGTACACACCACATTACGAGGAGTTTCGGGCTCGCTGCGATATATAAGTTTATATTATATTAAGCAGAGCTATGCAAAATGACTTGACGACCAATGAAGGCGATCGTAAAAGACGAGCTGCAGCGCGAAGCACACAAGCTGGCAGCAGGGTTAACATTCGCAGCAGCTCGCTTGGCTTGTCAAGTGAAAGAGAGAGCCTCGGCGTTGAATTTCGTTATTGCCGTATACGCGTCCATGCGCCGCAGTGTCCGGGAGTGCACACACCCAGGATCATTGGGCGACGCACATAGCTGCGTTTATGCGTGTACATCATGCTTGTGTATATGCCGGCTATAGCAGCAGTTGTTGTCTCGTCGAACTAAATATATATATCGGGACGACGCCGCGGCTCGAGTGAGCATCTCGTCGCTCGCTGGCTCGCTCGCTCGAACGTAAGGTAATAACGATCCGCGGCGGAACCGACCGCAATCTTCCTTTGAGCTTCTTGAATTGCGCGCACGAGTTAATTTTCGAACTGGAAAAGAGGAGAAAAAGGAAGGGATCGAGAGAAATTCATCTATCAGAAATTATGTTCAGAGGATGGCGACTTTTGTAAAAGTGCATTTGTAAGCATCGACAGTATAAAACTATTCAACCAGCAGAATAATTTGTCGAGTCGGTTTTTGCATCATCGTCTATTGTATAAATAGTAATTTCGTATTATTAAGAAAAAATAATACAAGAACGCTCTTTTTTTTATGCAAGCGAAAGAGATTCATTTAGCCTGTACTGTGCGCCGCTTGCATATTACATTATTATTTCTTATCTCGAACTTCCTAGTACTCAACGGATTCTTGTGGGACTCGCAACAGCGAGAGCAGTTCAAGTATTTTTGCAGAAACTATTAACTTTACCTACACAAAAGAGACGCCTTTATAACTGTGTCTCGTGCACAATTTAACAGTGGAACTAATAATTCGCTGGCGCAAACCAAAGCTATATCGTACCCTTTTTAAATATCCTGGAAAATTCTACTCTATAAAACTTGTAAACGTTGAGTTCTATCAGAGTCACTTTTATTATTTTCGCTTCGTTAACTTTTTTTTTCTAATTAAAAGCTAATAATTTAAAACAAGCTGTATGGAATGATTAACAGTTTTAAGCGAAATCCGCGAAACCATTTTTGCCCGATGTTCGAAACTACACATTAATGTCAGCGTTATTAAGTGACGTCTTTAATTAAAAGCTTTCCAATTTAATACGTTTATACCTCGGATACGTCCATTTTCATGAAACTTTACCAGTTTGTAAAAATAATAATAATAAAGATCGAAAAAAACGCAAAAAAAAAAAATAATAAAATCGATACGCGCAAGGGTAATGAAAATAATTAAATTAAATAACTTGGCGCGACTCGTCATCCAGCATATGACAATAAATTTGCGTTCGTCTATTGCGGCAGCGATGCTTTCTCGTTCGTATATCTGGCGATCGCCGAGCAGTCAAATAAAAATCATAAGTAATGAAAAATGAAAAGTCTATAAATAATCGCGCTCAGGGTCGATGAATTATTTCGTTTATTTTCTCGAGCTCTCGGGCTCTCTGCCGCTTGGCTACTCTGGCGTGTACGCGAGTGTCGCCGCGCTGCACTCTTGCTGCGATACACTGTGAATTTAATCTCGGTATATGGCCTGACGACTATGTGGCTGTGTGAGTGTGTGCACGTGTGTATGTGCAGGTTCGCGCGCGCAGGCATGCATTTATTTTTAAATCGACGACTAGACGACGTATGTGGAGCTCGCGCTCGCTCGCGGACGGGGCGAACGCCGTGGAAATTTGACAGGTAATACGCGTGGTATAAGGCTTCAGCGGGGATATATTAAAATTGCAGAGAGAAAGAGAGAGAGAGGAAGTGAGAAAAACAATGTCTTACTTGTTTCGAGCTCGAAAAGCGGAGAGCCGGGCAGGGCGCTGTGAGGCAGCAGTGGCGGCAAGCTCGTCGACATTGGCACATTGACGAGTGGCTCGCCGACGCCACCGCTGGCGCTGCCGATGCCGCCGCCGCCACCGCCGCTGCCTCGGCTCGGCTTATTATTGCTAATGTGATTGCTAAGGGTCGGCATATCGCTACTATTGCTATCGTTGCTGCCGTTCACGCTCATCGCCGAGGGTGTCTCCTCGTAGCCCTTCTCTTTCTCCCGCTTCTTGCGCATCTCCATCAGCTGCAACACACATTTCACATTTGACAGCTCTCGCGGATATATACTTTCCTTGTTCAATCAATATAATATATACAGTATATAATGGTACATTAAGTGGTCGTTTAATTATGCCATTATGTTTCTGCTCGGGACTTACCATTTCCTCCTGCTGTCTGGCCCTGCGCTGGGCCGTCTGGACTTTCATGATGTACTGGCGCTTCATTGTGAGAATGCACAAGACACACTTGCATTCTCTCCACGGGCAATTTCTCTTGTGAAACTTGACTTCGTTCTTTTGGCCGTGATTCTGGCATCGCGTGCACTTTGGTATTCGCTGGCTCTGCTTGACCTTTTTCGCTGGTGCCTCGCTGCTCGACCCCATGTCGTCAGGTTGGTCCATATCTCTCTCTCTCTCTCCGCTCGCGAGACTCGGGAGATCACCGTCGCGGCACGAGCGCGTTCCACGTTCGCGTGAAGCTCGCCAATTATCGATTGAGTACGACGTCGACGAGTGTGGAGTGGCTTCGGCGGCTATTTCGCTGCTTCTTTGTCACTGCAAAGTGTACTGGCGACCTTTGGCTCGTTTCTTCCTTATCTACGATAGCGTTGTTCGTTACGCGCACTAAACACATGTTCACTCTTATTCGCGCCCGAGCGAGTTTTTGCCAATTGTCTAGCTTCTCGTGGCTTTTTTATTAGCGCTCGGCGCATTCGGGTACTCTTCTCCTAGTTTTTTCCTCCTTCTAGTGCGGCTGAAACAGAAAGAGAGCACACATGATTTCGAGCTATGGATATTCAATTGCGATTAAATGTCACGTATAGTGCTTTATCACGTCGCTGCTGCACTGCTGTGTACGCAAGTGTGTGTACGTGAGCTCGCTCGCTCGCGCTCGCGTTAGTAATTTGCATTAGCGAGAAAAACTCAGTCTGGAACATTATTGCAACGATGTATGCGCGCGTGCACGATCGGCTCGCGCGCGCAGCTCGATACCAAGTTTTATACACTGCAATAATACGCGAGGGACGCGCGAGCGTCGTACACACGGAGGCGAACTCACGCGGCTCGTGAGCAGCTGCATAAGTAAATTTCGAGGAAATATTATGCACAACAGACTCATAATTTTTGTATGTGCCATTGTGCCTACACGCTTGTACACATTGCAGCACTCTTTCCATTCATTTCCATTACTAATAGAATAGCCGAGAGAGAGAGAGAGAAAATTGATCGCCTGCACCGCTGCTGCCGCGTCTCGTCTATACAGAGTAGATATAATCTAAATCTGGAACGGTGAAAAATTTCCCTTCTTTTCGCGTGCACTACCGCTGTTTCAGGCGATTCGCGAGGAAGCTGCAGTTAGCCTCGCTAATTCGATACTACGAGTACAAAATGCTCAATAAGTGTTTGAATTAGAGTAAATTTGATTTCGCGAGTACAGGAACAAGCGAGAAGATTCTAAATAATCGAAATCAATTATTAGCAATTTAGTCGCAAAGTCTGCGAAAGTGTTTTGACAAATTTTCAAAAAGTGATTTATATTTGCTAAGATCGTTAGACTATTTATAGATCGTGAACCATCTTACGATTTTGCGATGTTATTTTTCTACTCTTTGATATTATCTCGCATACAAAATCGCAAGCGTATGTATTCCAGAAGCCAAAGCAGTTTATATTGTAGAATACAATTTATTCAACTGTATTACACGTTAAAGCTCATTGTTTATGATTTGAGTGTCGTGCACTCGAGTAATTTAAGCGCAATCTTCATTGAATTATCTGCGTTTCTAAGTGATATATAAATCAGTTCAAAGCTGATAAAAGCAAGTTCATTGTAATTAATCGTAAATGCTTTTAATTTTTAAGTTTTGACTCTTTATTTGGGTAAGTATGTTTCGCAGCGTGACGCTTCGGTTAAGTTATTCATCTCGTGTTCATCTCGTGATTTTAAAGAAACACACTCTCGTGCGTACGTTTCACGAAATCAATAATAATAAAATGTCACAGAAATGCAGCACTGATTCTCCGCAGAAAGAATAAAACTCTTTCATACTGCAATCGCTCATGAAACCGTACATTAGAATATATACGCGGTAAAAGCCTCATTTCAGGCCGCTCGTACTCCAGATATAATAACCGAGCGAGCCGTTCAATTTTATTCTCAAATGCTCTCTCTGCACTGGCGATAAGATTAAAAATGAGCAAAAAAAGTTGAAAAAAAAAGAATCTCATAAATGAGACGGTTAGCGCATGTGCTTAAGATATCTCGCGTTATTGAATGACGATGATAGATTATAAATATATAATTGGAAACAAAATATTGTACTGTCCTGCGATATGAGCATCATTATACACGCATTGAGGGAGACAGAGAGAGAGAGAGAGAGGTACGCAAAGATAGAACCAAAGATACGATGAAGCAAGAAGAAGAGAATGAGTTGATGCAGCGTTTGTAAGACATTAGTATTTATGTAAAATGGAACGCAGAAATGAGTTCAATCGAACCTGATCGATTCGCCAGGCCAAGCGAGCTTTTTTTACCTCGGCGATATATTTTCACTGTATTCGATATCGATGGAAATGAAAAAATTAAATGTCCGATTTCCTATCCATTCGATTGGCGCGTGGCTGGAAATATAATTAGCTCCAACTGCATCGAACAATCGCACGAAATAGAACATTGTATATTAAGTTAATATAATATCAAGTTAAACACATTCAGCGCTCGTAAACTCGTGTATACACGTGTAAGAATATTATCTCGTTTTATATAACGCAATCAATTACATAGCTATGATCAAATGTCATCCTGCACTTAAAAAGGCGCGTATACATAGAGCCGAGCGACACCAAGACATGCACACACACACACACACACACGCACACTCGCATAGAGCCACGGACGACGCTTCTTGTTCGTGGCTCGCGTGTTTCGAGTCACTAGGTTTCATTAACATCAATACGATGTACACTCGTAGAGCACATAAGCGACCAGACCGACTAATGCCTCTTTTTTGCATATATATCTCTGGCCATCTTTTTTTCTATTTTTTCTTTTTTACTTTTTGCATTGTATGCAGGCGGCGGCATTCACGTGCGGCGCGTACCGTCCACGTGTGCGCGAGTGTAAACGCATGCATAATTCTCACATAATCCACAAAAGAAGCTTATACATACACACACGCGCACACACGAGATCCGCGCGTTTGTGTGTGCAGTCGTCGCGTTTACAGGAAAATTGCGCTGACGCGCTGATAGCAGCGCGCACGAGTTGCACGCTTCTGTACTGCACGCGGGGTTTTTTTTTTCTTCTGCTCAGCGCGCGTTGCGATACAATTTTTGCGCCTCTTCGTGCGAGCGCTCTGTCTTTATAACTGCAGCGTAAATGCACGTGTGTGTGCGATGCTCGTGTCTGTCTGTATAACTGCTACTCGTCGCCAACTATTATTCTAGATATCATGCGAGCAGAGCGGAAGAGAGTTTTTTAAAAACGAAAATTCCCTGCACAAAGTCGTCTCGATCGTGCAGCGACCATTAACAAGTATACCTCGATATAAGTTGCATCATTTCGATTAGCGGATTCGTAGACCAGAAGCAGTGCGCGCGTACGTGTGTGCACGTGCACGCATCTTCAAAAAAAGTAATAAATTAAAAAAGGAAAAAAAAAGAATAAAGAAAAAACGAATTGGTAAAGTATAGTTTCGTTAGCGTATTACATTGCACTTAAGTTGTCATGGAGCGATGATAATAATGCGATAGCACCGCTCGCAGCTTATGCTGACTCATACCACATATGTATATAAATATATAAATATATATAGCGCGCGCTCGTGCACATCTATGAACGCGCGCTCGTGCACACACACACACACACACGTAAGAATTAGCCTTTTTTTTACAAGGAGCGCGCACAGCTCGCCACACACACACGCGTATCACATGTGGCTATCATTACGGCGCTGCGGTATATCGTACAATCAGTTATTTCTCGACGTGATACTGCATAACACTTATCACTCTCTCGCCTGCGCGCACACACCCACACGCACGCGCGCCCTCACACGTACTACTCATCGCGCGTATTTGCACACGTATATACCTACGTGTGTATATATATGCGTTTACGCGTACGAGCACGTACGTATCTGAAAATCCTGTCCTACTGTTATAAGTGTCGCCGCTGACAGCCAAGAGCTTTGCTCATTAGCCTTGCCTACTATACCTCCGAGTCGTGCTCGAGTCGCGGCCTGGCTCGCTATAATTGAATAATGCATCCCAGCGATCGCGACATATACTACGTCCCGAATTCTTCGAATTAGTGTCTTTGTGTATTAACGTTCGAGCGACTCGAGATCGCGAACCTTTGCGAGCTCGTATTATATACGATGTGTTGCGGTTCTCCGCATGCAGACACACGCACACGCAGCCTCGTTATATACAGCCGCCAGTGCTGCTGCTGCTGCTGCTGCTGCTCCGTGTACAGCCACTGATCCATGTAATTATCGAGTTGAAAATCTGACGATAACATGCATATAATGTGAACGCGAACTACGCGAGCTCGCGAGAATTTCGAATGCTCTCTCTCTACTCGCAGGGCAAATATGACTCATTGAGTTGTGAACAGCCCGAGCCATTGGGCAAATTGCAAAAGCTCTGCAAAGTATTATTAAAACATAATATAATAATATAATAGATAACTGCCTTGAAAATATACGCATACATAAAAGCTATGTACGTGTGTACATGTAGAGTGAGTAAGAACCGAGTTTAACCGCATATCTCTCTCTCTCTCTTGTTCTCTCGGCTTCGAGCTCTCCCTCGACTTGTCTTGTATAATATTCGATTATACTTTCTTTACATGAAAGTATGAGCACAATTATGGCACGGGGGTTTAGCATTTAACGTTAAAGATGATTATTGCTAATGACTAAACACGAGAGTGAGCATATACATTATATTTTGGTCGCGCGTAAAAAGTATCCGCGTGCACTAAACCATGTCGGAAACAACTTGTGCGCTAACTGGGCTAAAATTATACCTTGTTCTAGGATTTTATTTAGTTATTTCGTTTAATTGCTAAATGCGCCCCGAATCGTCATGTGTGCCGGGCTAGAACGTAACTGACTGCGTAACGTATACGTACTTATTAAAAAAAGAAAACTTTTTCCACGGGGTGCGTTACACCGACTTCTTTAACGTTTATAGCTTGCGAAGGTATATTCGGCAGTGGTCGGAAGCTTTTACAAAAATAGTTTAACGCGCTACGCCGTATATTGAGTGAGTGGCCCGATTCAAGTATTCTTTGAATGTTTGTAGTCGATCGATATCGATCTTGTGTGCATGTATATGTGGCAAGTTGAACGTGACACGGCTACTGTATATAGTTTCCCGACGATGACATTAAACCTGTAATGATTTTGTTTTGAAGCGAGATAATTTATGTAATACAGTCGTGTCTTTTATTTTACACAATTTTAAATTATATATGTAGCGATACTATTATTCAAAAACTTCAAAGGTCAGGAAAAATATTAAAATTACTACAAATAGAAATATTTATCTTTCGCGGTATGAAAATCTAAATAAAATTTTTCGTTTCTCCTTGGACGTTTGAATAATTAATCTGAAAAACGACTTGAGGACAATAATTTTTCACATGAACAATAAGAATCATAATTCTAAATAAAATTCAAGCGAATAATTTAAAAAGAAAACTTGGAGTGGAAAAGTATTTATAACGTTTGATTGTGTTGACATCACCCCATTTTGAGACCATCGGTAAAAGTCAATATTCTGTCCTAGATTTATTATCACGGATATTACATTTTCCTCAATACTTGAACTATTTTTGTAACAATATTTCGATGAAAGTTCAATGTGCAATTTTGAAATTCAAGAAATCGTTTCACAAATGAGTAACGAGTGTCACGAGCCTGTATTGTTTCAGAGTGACAAAGTTGTAAATGAATCGTGCAATGTTTAATTCAGAATGGAGCACGTGAGCTTTTCCAATTCTTTAGGCAAATGTACATTTTCTAGCCTCGATTCATATTCATTTCCTTCTGTCTATGTACGTTGAGAGTAAAGCCACGTGTGCAACGGATCCTTATGCCCAGGCGCCCACTTAAACTCATAATAACTCGAGCAACAAACAGAAGCGTATCATTTATAAATCATTAGACATGCATCAATAATACATACGCTACTTTTTTTTACGCAAGTAGCCGCAACTAATAACTTAGGATGCATACCAATATGAGCAGTGGCGTCGCACACGCATACTCGCGTATACAAAGCATATTTACATCGACATAGCAGGCACACGGACAAAAATTTAAAAAGTTTCTGCTACTCGCACGAGTTGCACAGTGCAGTAGTAGGCACCTACTTGAGCATGTATATACAGTAAGTGTATATTATGAGCTAACGCATGAATATACGTATGAAACACAACTAAAGCAATGAATATTTAATTTGGACGAGTTTCAAAATGCATGCAATCGTGAGTGATCGCGCCTCGCACGCACATGCGGATGGACGGAGGTGCACACAGGCATATACCCTCGAATGCACACACACACACACACACACACACACACACACACACACACAGGCTGTCTCTGACAATTACACGTAGAAGACGTATCCGTTGCCAACGTATACAGAGAGAGAATACGGCGTCGCCAGGCATGTGTATCGCGCGCGGCGATACTCTACGCAAGATAGCATTAGAGTAGCCGGCACAGTTCGCGCTCGCTCGCTTATAATTTATAAAACGCGTATATAAATACGTATATAAGAGAGCGTAATAAGCGAGATACGCGACAACGTGTAAAAATTTCGAGCAATTTATTCGCCAAGTTTGCCGATAAATTATTCATTAATATTTTTGCGCTTGTATTTCTTCATTAACGCAGCTGCTGGTGATCCATTCCCCGGGCCCGGCCGAGAACCGAGAGAGAAAGAGAGAGAGAGAAAGAAAGAGGTATATAATAAGCCGCGTAAACGGAGCGAAATTCAGAGTACGTGTGATATGTAGGCAGCTTTGCAACTTCACGTGCCTGCGGTGTGGCCCGGCTGCACTGGACCGCCTCGAACATTTCGGTAGACCAGTGGCACATCATATAATATGCACGCACGCATATATACACGGACACACGTAGAAGCCCTTCATGTTAGCTGTACGTATGCGAGGCATCTCTCGAGTATATAATTGAGCCTGACTCAAGATTCAAGAGAAACAACTTTCGATTCAAGATTTCAAGATGCGCGCGTGTTAGTGGGTATGTGCGAGTCTTCGTGTGTTTGTGTGTATGTGTGTGTGTGCAGCATGTGCGCGATGCAGGCGTGCATTACCCCGACAATTCGTCACGACTTCTTCCGCAATGCAAAGTAGCAGCAGGCAACATAGTGCGCATCCTAGAAGCGCGCGCTATAATGTGTATAAATAGCAAACTAGTTGCAGCTGATCGCGCTCGCGCGTCTCTCATTTTCGCTCCTCTTATCTCTCTCTCTGTCTCTCTCTCGTTCTCTCTCATTGCAGCGCAAAGTATATCGAATTATAACGGGCACCCGGCGGTCGTTGCGATACGCGTTCGACGCAGTATACGTATATTAGACGCACGAGGAATGGAAAATCGACTCACCTGGAATTCGTCGAGTTGACGTAGAGCAGTAGCTGCGGTCCCTGGCCGATTGTCTCTGGGGACTGGTATCTTTCAAAAAACGTCCTGTATATTGTATATTACATGCAAAAGTCTATGTGTCACTCGTGTCGATGCACGTAATCGCACTTTCAAAGTCAATTAGCGACGATAGCGAGTAAAAGTACTCGAACAAGTACGTCGATAGAGATATAATAGAGCGAGTTGGATGAGGTCTAACGCACGAGCTGCGTCGCAACGGCCCACGTGTATACCGATTTCTCACACCGTCACACACGTGCGTGCAAAAACTGCTGCTTGTTGACCGTGTCTCGTCGCTGCTCCCTCCTCTTCTCTTCTTCTTTCGTGTGCTCTTTCATATTTTTCGCATCATACCACACTTTGCATCGGCGGCTTTTGCTGTCCACCTATGTGTAAGCGATGTATAAATTTTCTCTTCTCTTCTCGTCGTCGTGGTCGTCAACTCGGTGCGCGTGTGTACGTCTTGACTCTCTTAGTCGAGTTGTCGGTCCGTAATCTTGGCTGCTTTTGCCTCCTCGACCTTATCTACCTCGTTGTTTAACGACTGTCATCTCGAAGCTCGCCCTCGGCAATTAAAACTTTTCGATGCGGAAAATCGCACTCATGCTCGCATCGCGTGTATACGGACAGCGAGAGCGCGGGCAAGCGAGCACATGCAACGCACGCACGCACGTTGTATATACGTAAACGAGTAAACAAAAAAAATCGTCGACTCTTTTTTTTTTTTTTTAGTCGTCGTTGCGGCGAGAGGTAGAGATGTATCGAGGCTGCGAGAGATACACCAACGAGCCGCACATACACATGCACATACACGGAGAAACTCACTCACGCAGACACGAGCAAGTATCCTCTATTTGTCGGAGAGCCGAGCGAGTTCGTCAATGCACTGGCGTGTGCATACGTATATATAATATTATATTATAGGCTCCGGTCAGATGTGTGCTCTCTATGCAGGCACGTTTAATCGCCGCAAAGTGTTACAAGTATTCCTCTCGCTCTCGTGTGTAAGTGGCCGCGTCGAGAGCCGAGAGCCGAGAGCGTGTTTACGCGGCTCGTACGAGGCTATATATGTGCACATGCACTGCTGCGACTGACTGCCTAGTAGTAGTAGTAGTAGTGCCTATATGCATATGCACACACAGGCCTGGCGCACGCACGCGGCAATCGCGAAATAGCAACAGTGTATGCGCCGAGCCTCGAGTCTCTTCCGAGTCTGTTATGTGCTATGCGCTTGGCCTATGCGCTTGGCTATTATTACTGCACAGGCGCACTGCACAGGCGCAGCCGACGAGCTTTGCCGCTGCTGCTGCTGCTGCTGCCGCTGCTTACTACACTACACACTCGTGTGCTCGTGGTCCGACGTCTATCTGCGCCTGTCACAGCACTGATTTTGCTTTCTGCTTTTGCACGGCCGTCTACCACACAGAGACGCGTATAATACGCACGCACACGCGCAAAACTCTTCGGACGAGGGACTGCTGCTGCTGCTGCAGCTCGGTTGGCTCTTCTGCGTGTCTACTGCTGCTGCACACTATGATGTTCCCCGATCGGCAACCGAACGATTTGCAAAGTTCGAAGGGTCGCTCTTCTCTTGCTCGATCCAAAATGCAACAACGAGACACTTTCCTTGTCGACTTGCACGAGGAATCACAAGTAGGCAAATTTTTCAACGCCGAGCTGTGCGTGGGCGCGAAAAGCAAAAAAAACCGATAATCGTTTGCACCGAACACGCACGCGTTTACGTGCACACACGCACGCGTCTTTTCGCATGTATAAGTGTGTGCAATGTTGGCGCGTTTTAAAAAAAAACGACGAGGAATTAAGTCGACTCGCGTTGGTGCGCACGGTTCAAGCTGCTCACCACTGTGTAGTCGGTAACTCACTAAGTCAAACTCTGCGCTTATTCGAGAGTGCATGCTTCTCTCTCTCTCTCTCTCTCTCTCTCTCTCTTTCTCTCTCTTTCTCTCTCGTACTACCCGTCACCGCGGCCGTCTTTTACGACCAGTCGTATATATAGCTATAGGCAAGAATATATACGTATACGTGCACACAGACTTACACTCGTATAAATTCGCTCTTGCCTCGCTGTCTGCGTGTGTATGTGTGCGAGGAGAGACCCCAGAGTGGGGCGACATAATGCGCGACCGGCATTACCGAAGCGAATGACAGTGGAGAGGAGGAAAAAACAGACTTGGCTTTGCATGTATGTAGAATATAATATGTGTATGTACCTGTGTATGAATGTATGTACCTATGTATATGCATAATTGCTATGCCACACACTTGATCCGATAGACTCTTAAAAATCGTTATATTCTAATGTATATAATAGTGAATTTAATATACATATAGATTTGTTACTACTTATTGTCCCGTTTTCGATGCACTCTACAATTTTCAATATACTCTCGTATCGAATCGTGCGACAAATTAGTCGCTCGTTCTTTTTGCTTTCGTTTACCTATACTCTTTTTTTGTATTCGATCAGAACCAACTAAAAACTGGTTACCTTCGTATTACCGATTTTTATCGGCAATGACTCTTGGAATATTGATTTGCCAATCGCATAACTGCAGTGACAAAAATACCTTAGAAAAAATTACCATGTCCATAGCAACCGAGGGATAAAAGCGAAAATTCATATGAAAAAGAATGTGTCATAGAACATTTTATTATTCAACAATGTAGTTATAATAAAAATTTTTAAGCAAATCCCAAGGTTACTGTAAACCTGGTAATTTATGTTCAAATATTTCTCTGTGTCGAGGAAAATTTATAACGAAAATCAAAATGGTATTACAATGTCTTGAATTAATTTGATCTTCCTATTATTTTCGAGCCACCTCCTCTCTATTCGCATACATTGTGCACCCATTATGCGGTTTAAAGATACACCTTCACGATTATAGTGCACGCTGCTCAAGCTTCAGCTCTCCTTTTATATGATGAGCAATTGTATCGTATTTATATTAAAATACTTGGCCATAATTACTTGCCAACATTGTACGGTGCAGCTGTGTGAATGTTCATGCACATTTTTACTCTCTTCATTATTTCCTAGCAGTAGACGCTAAGAATTGAACAGAATATTTTTTTGTGAGAGTTTATGAAAGATTAAATCTCAGGAGAAAATATTATGCTTGACAAAATGTTTCTGAAATGATTGAGTTGACCAATTCACTAAAATAGTTACTCAAAAATTGAAGTTTTTATTACTTTTTCCCAGAAAAAATATGTTCAAGTACAAAGTTCGTAAAAAAAACTGATGACCAGGCTAGAAATTTCAGCATTGATTAATTTTTAAGTACCTTATTCCTCATTTAAAGAAGGAAACAAAACTACAATTTTTGAAATTTTGTACCAAAATTCAGTATTATTAATTCTGATAGGTCAATTAACTTTTACTCCGAAAATCGTGAAACTTTGCCGAATGAAAATTCAGACAATCATGATATTCTTAGAATAATTAGCTTAAAAAATGAAATAATGTAATATCTGCAAGAAACTTCTATAGATACATACTTATTTTTGCCCTTAAATCGCGCAAACTCAAGTATTTTATGTTCCTCTCTCTCCTCGACTCTCTTTGCGGTTTACTGCACGCAGATCTCATGATGAGCTGCACGCGAGTGCAAATACACTTAAAAAATGTACGCACACCTTATCAGTATGTTTGGCTTCTTCAATTTTCGTCGGTGTCCAAAATACTTTTTCTTTTTCCAAATTGCGTTTGAACTCGTACACTATAATACAATAAATTTTTTCTGTGAAGCAACCAACACATACTAAAAATTTAATATCTTGTTCGTAGCTCGTCTACTCTCGCAGTTTTCTCCTTAATAAGCCGCACGTCTCGAGCCCGTGTATATCTATTTTTATGTTGTATTATAGTTTTTATATTCAACTTGACACTTCTTCCTGTTTCGATCACGAAAGTAATAATCTTTTTATTTTTCATTCTCCAACGACTCGTTCAACCGCTCTTTTATCCGTCTTGTTTCGTAACTGCAACTTAACTCTTTCGCGGTTCCCCGCGTCTCTTCATCTTTCTCCTGTTCTGACATACAAAGTATAGTAGAGTCGTCAGTAGTTGCTGCTACGGAGTGCATATCATTTATCTTTCCTGCGGTAAGGTGCGTGCAGAGAGCCACAATGAGCGATAGACTTGACGAAGCTTATGAGGACTACGGCTGCACTGATCGAGAATCATAACTCTGAGCTTTGCAATGCTAATTTTAATTGCAAAACATTCATCGTTGCAACCGTCTTGATAATCTTGTAAAAATTGTATTCTAATGATAATTTTTCATACTTGATGACTTTGAATATTTGAGATGGAAAAAGTTTATAAATATCATTAAAAGAAAATGATTTTATTGAGAATAAGTATTAAATTTTGTAAAAGTCTGTTTTCGTACTTTTTTAAATAGAGATCTGTTCTTCGCGTACAGAATCACTTCAGCTATTTTAATCTTTGAAGGTTGGATTTAAAATACATCATATCGATCCTTCGTAAATTCCCTTTGACTTACTTTTGAATTTATAAATGGGTAAGACTCAGAATTATTTAAATAACCATACAGCAAGAGTCCTTGGATTTGGATGTACTTTTAATATATTAAAATAAATAGAAAAATTGTATGGAAGCCGAATTGCACCCCAACATCACTTGTATGCACCACAAATCATATCGTCGCTCCAGCGCAAAAACTGCACTAATAAACTCGAAAAGCAAAAACGTGCTTTAGTCTTATATTTTTAACATATGACTTAGGCACAGTGCTGTTAACTGAAAAATGCCCATTTCTGACAAAAATTAATAGCAGCAACCGACCTACACCACCTTGTAGAGGGGGTATGTGGGAACATGTAGGGGAATTTCGTTGCGTATTGGACAATAACTTTTTTTTTTAACAAAAAAAACAAAAAAACGTAGTCCGGTTTTTGATTTTTCTAATATATTTTCGAAACCAAGGCAGCTACCGTGATACTTCTATGTTAAAATGTAGGAAATTTAATTACCTTTCCAACTAAACGAATTTTGTTTCGTCCGGATCGGATTAGTATTTCCCGAGAAAAGTAGGTAAATGTTCGGAAAAACGTGATTTTTGGGCAATTTTCGAAAATTCACAGCTCCTTCAATTTTCAGATTTAAGAAACGAAATTTCGCAAAAAGGTAGCTCTCATTATGCAGAATAACTGTGCGAAAGCTAATTTATAGTTTCCGAGAAATTCAATTTGCAATTTTTTTTTTGCGAAAAATTAGTACCTTGGTTTTTGGCATGCAAAATCTTTGAAACTTAAATTTTTGAAATTTTTCCAACGAATTTGAAAATTAGAATGTTTATTCTTCAAAACATATAGTCTGTTGAAACCTTTTTAAAAAACGCCCGCCAATTTAACGCATTTTTGGAAAAATTCATTAAATCTCGCCAGGCGGGAGTGCTAGTGCGACACTATGACTGTGACACAAGTGATACAGGCTTATGTCTACAACTACTCCACCACCACCTTCCAATCCGGTTAAAACAAGAAGCTTTTGGTTTTAAACTTAAAGAATCAGATCGCCAGCAATACATTTTTGGGGGTTTCAATAATTTTTTCTGAAGCACTGAATTATTTGAAAAATCTAAAAAAAACAAAGTTTTTTAGATTGTTGAAAGGTCCTTCTGTGAATTTTTTTAGATTTCACAAACCAAAAATTGTTTCGAGATTGATTTTAATGGAATCGGCAGTCCGTACAGTAAAATTTGTGGTGTATGCAAATGATAGACGGATTAGAATCTCGGATTCCGGACTGTTTTTCTTGCAACTCTAACTTATCAAAAGTGCGTCCAAATCTGAGGTCTTCAGACGAAAAAATCTGAACCTTACCCAAATATTTTCAGTATAGCTTTAGTACTAAAATATGATAATTTATTTTTTAATTTATTTTTCATTTTTTCATGAAAATTGGATTTAGTTCGATAATAGGTATTCATGTAAAAATTGCACAAATTATTATATTTTGCATCTAGGGAGTGAAAAACTGGAAAGTCTCAGAGCACGTGCAAAATATACTATTTTATCACTGCGTGCAAAAAGTGTTCATTTCCAGCACAGCTAAACCTCTATAGAAAACCTCTTGCATCTGTTGTATCATGTACTATTTTGCGCACGATTTGCCCTAAAAAGACGAGTGAGGGCCACGGCGGCATTCATACACTGGGCCCAAAATAGTATATTTTCACTCCCTAGGTGCAAAATATACTATTTGGGCTCTTTTTACATAAATAACTATTATAACAAAAAATTTTTAATTTCTGCACTTATTGATATTAATACTTTGACTTGGTATACGCTTAAATTAAATTAATTTTTCATTCAATTTTTTAGTATAGCTTTTTTACCAATTGTGAAGAAAAAAATGTCTCTCGTCAAACCTGTAACTAACGTTTTATTTTTTTTTAATCTTTGAAATTTTATCTTTAAAAACGAGTCTTAATCTCAAAATTCATTTTCCAACGCAGGAATGCACCTGCCTTTTCGTCTTACTTTTGATGATAAGTGCCAAGAAGCGATATATTATTTTGAAATTTCAACCATATATTAACTGAAAGATATAGCAAGAAGCTAAGTCAGTTTGATAGCAATAATAGCATATAATGAATCGTCGCTCTGGTCTTGAGTAGAATTCGCGGTAAGATTGAAATAGAAGCATTTGGTTTCAACTCATATTTCTAACTCGAGTACCAAAGCGATACAAAGTATGCTTGATATATAAGCTGATTAAAATGAAGCGACACATTGAACGTCTCTTGGTGTACCTTCAGGTTTTTCTGTCTTAACGTCATCAGCGATTATGATCTTATGTATACTTTAAAAAGCAGAGGCGTTTCCAGGGTGGCCGAATAA